CATCCATGTAAAGAAGTTCTTTTGTGTGTTCCTAATACAGATTATCAACATAAACAATTTATTAAAAGGGCTGCACAAAACTGGATAATTTCTCAAAGGTTATTTATCTTCATGATTCAGAATATGATATCAGAGACCTCCACCCATTCATCTTCATCAAACCCTGTTCCTTTCCCTCCCCCATAGATAACAGTGCTAATCTCACTACCAGACCATGTGATGGAGCCTGGTCAATGGAATATGGGTGGAATGAAGCACACTGCTTTTGAGCTAACTGCCCACAAAACCCTCCAACACAGCACTTGCCATGCTCTTTACCCATTAGCAGGTCAGATAGAGAAGACCTCAAGGATGCAGACGAGGAAAGCCCTATGATGTGAGAAGCCTGCTCCACTTTGGAGATAAGGTGGTTGGAGAGGAACATCTACATGGGATTTATGTTTTAGAGAGAAACAAACCTCATTCTGTTAAGCCACTGAAACTCTGGAGTTGTTGGTTATCTCTACTAGCTTACCTCAGCTAGGTATGGATTCTGGGTCAGATTGCTTGGGTTAAAAATCTCATTCCATCCATAGCTGTGCAAACTACTTAACCTGACTTAATTTCCTTGTATATAGAATGCTGACAGTAACCTTACCTATTTCATAAAGTATTTGAGGGGATGGAGTGAGGTATATAACCCTTTAATAAACTTGGTATTTAAGTATGACTTATGGTTGCTTCATTCCTAAAGAAGACTCTCATTTTAAGATCATATCCAAATAGGGATTTCTTGCAGAGTTTGGTCAAGTACTATAAGCTAATTTGTAATATGAAAGACTATCCACTTATGATGTTTAACTAAAGAAATGCTGAGTTTTCCAGGAAGAAAATGAGGGAGAAAATGAGGACTAGAAGGAGGAAAGAAGGGAGGTGATGGAGGAGAGAATGAAGACTTCTCTGTTTTAAGCAGCTTCCGTATGAACTGAACTTTGCTAACAAGTCTGTCACAGCCAGGAAGTAAATATCTCTTAGCATCAGATAGTTACAGCAGACATGTACTCTTGTTATTGTCTGCAGGAGTTTCCTGGACATCTTTCTGCTGTGGGTGGTATACAGAACCTCCTTCCCACCCCCACTCCATTCCATGACACTCCTGCTGCCCTGACATTTTTTTTCTTCAATGAGAAATACTCGCTGGCTGTTTACATATCCTCAAAATCTCTTGTGAAAGTGAACCAAACTAAAATAAACCAGGAGCCTTTTGCCACTTAGTAAGCTTCATTCTAAGGCATGGTGCCTATAAATAAGGCAATCGGATGCCAGGGGAAAAAAAAAAACCTCACCAAATGCACAACTGTACATTTACAGTCTCTTCTATAAATAGATGAAGATTGCAGGTTTTTAAGTGAATGAGAGACTACAGCAAAAATTGTGTGAACTCAGAAAGATGAGTGAAGCATAAAATATACTCCATGTAACAGAAATGGATATTTATTCAGTAGCAACGCCAACAAAATTAAACACAAGGAAATTAGTATTTTGTAGGTTTGGTAAAAAGGAACCATGAGTGGATTGAGCGCAGGCTGCAAACCAAAGGGTCACTGGTTCAATTCCCAGTCAGGGCACATGCCTGGGTTGTGGCCCAGGTCCCCAGTAGGGGGCACGTGAGAGACAACTACACATCGATGTTTCTCTCCTTCTCTTTCTCCCTCCCTTCCCCTCTCTCTCAAAATAAACTTTAAAAAATCTTTAAAAAAAGGAACCATGAAATGCCCTGGTTTTGGTCTCTTTGGAGTTTCTTAGATGGAACTGCTCACTTTATAGGCAAATATATGAATTTAGCAGTTGGCTATTTATTAATCAAGATATTCTTCACTTTTGTGAAAGTGAGCTTCTATTTTTCTGAAGTACCCGAAGATGAACAAAAGATGTATCTGTGAAGAAATAGGAGGTTTTTGCTCTATAAACAAATTGCACTTATTCTAAAAAAGAAAAAAATAGAGGGCCTAAACATAAAGTAAAATGTGGTTTTCTGCATAGTTACAATGCCCAAGGACAGTTCTGATCTGATGCCTTATCAATTTACATGGAATTTTACTCTAGTGGTTTCTCTAAGGTTCAGCAAAAACAAGCAACAAAACAATATGCTCTCTCTGAGCCACAGGAACCATTTTCAGGGCTTAGTGCATTTAAAAATTTTCTCCTCTAACAGTATCCTATGAGTGGACCATAAAGAAAAACCTTTCAATTTTGCATGGTAATTGAGTTTTGTGGGCATTTGGGGCTTTGGTTTACCTTCTAGAAGCGTAGTATCTGGGCTCAAAGATCATGTGCAGTGCAAAGATGAGTGTGAAACAAAAGGCTAACATTTTACCACTTGATGCAGATGGATCATTCCAGTAACCCAGGCAGCTGAATTGGTTAGAGGCTGAGGACACCTAAGTTCTGCTAATAATGCAAGCATAGGACCTGCCAGTTACACTAAACAACTTCCATACACGGTAGCTCTTAGGAGTATCAATGACTTCATCATCCTCAATAACCAAAAATCTAAGAAACTCACTTTTATGTTGTTTAAACTAGTCCTAGAATTTTATAATAACACAATTGACTTAGTGGAAGCAACAAGTGTAGATAATAGAGAATATTGAAAAGTACTGGGTTAGGTTCCTTCAATTATCTGCATATTTCTACACTTCAGTGTGGAAATCTCTGATCATGAGTACTATCAACACTAATTGGAGCCCTTGGTTTCCAGGAATAGATTCTTCCAGTAAAGTCAATTTGGCATTTTTGCAGATACTGTTCTGTGCTAAAAAAATAATAATGAAAAAAGTACTAGAGAAGGACACATGAGTCAGCTACTAGTCTGTTTTCCAGGCATAGGCACGTCCCTTCACTTCTACAGGTCTATTTTCTCAATTTGAAGATTGAAGGGTTGGACTGGCTGGTCTCTAAAGCCCCTTTTAGCTCTACAGTCTAGACTACTTACAAAGGTCAGTACTGGCTCATTCAGTCATTAGATCTACAAATACTATTAACATAATGAGGTCTTGCCTTTCAAAACTGCAGTTAAGGGAAAAGCATGCTCCCCCTCATAGCTCTGGGACTGTAAATCATTTGTTGTGCTAAGACATGCAAACCCTGGACAACACAGTTTGTTCTTTGTATTTGACATGCTGCATTACACCCCAGATGGGTGGGTTGTTAAAAAAAAAGTAAGCCATCTGATTGTCTTTGCTTGCCTATTAAAATTAAACTGAGCTTATAATTAACATCACCAGGTGAAGTACTTTAGTGTTGTCTTTTTTTTTAAGGAAATATTGAGCGATTCTCTTCTACTGGCTTTTTATTGTTGGAAAGTTCAGCCACATCCCCAATTCAGACTCTTGCTCCCACATCAGCTGATTCATTCCAAATCTTCAAAGAACATTTTCCTTATATAATTTTCTTTTTCTACAATGGTCACAGTTCTCTAGCCATATAATAAAAACCATGCAAATCTGAGTTTGCTTACATTGAAGACAGGCTTATTTGAATAGGGAGACCAATGTTCATTCACTTCAGTGTGAATAGAGCCTGATGCGAGGTTTGTCAGTGTGGCTTTAGCTGAGCTGCAGTTGGCAGAGCCTACAACACAGATTGCTATACTTACAGGTCTGATTTGCGGCAACTGTGGCATCTGTGTTCTGAGTTCTAGATTTAGCAGCTTTTCTAGCTTTATTCTTCTGGCCAGCCATGGAATATGATTCTATGTACTCTTAACAATCAGTACATTTAATTTTGATTTTTGCTTTGTTTTTTTTTTTGCATCAGGATTCAAAATGTAACCCAACAAATTTCAGATGAAGTCTAAAATGGGTTTTCTGTGATTCATACACATCAGTGAAAAATATGATTGTTGATATGACTTTACACACGTACACACATGGACTGTCTGTGCACACACACCAACATTCCCCCATGTTGGTTTTTCTTTGATAGGTTTGATAGCAGTGTAAAACCATATGTGCTAAAATGTTTCTTATTCATATTACCAGGATGATAATGTAAATCATTACTACTTATCAATAGGTTAACTTAGAAAGAATTCAAACATTCATTCTAAAATGCTTTTTAAATTTCCTTTTTTCCCTAGGATCTTGCAGAAGTAAAAAAAAAATTTATTTTTTACTTGTATGATTTTATGCTGATTTCAACAATTGCGGCCAGTTTCCATAGTCTATTGTCGAGGCTTAAAGCCTCGAATGGTACTGAAATATTTTAAAATTTTTAGGTGTTGATTAACTTCTGGGATATGTACACATCAAGGATGAGTGAGTTCAGTTAAATTTCCTAATGTTTTGATGCTGGATGAAATCTCTTTCATTTGACTAGCACCTGTGGAATTGACCTCAAATTTGCATGACCAAGTACTCTCTTGAATTGATCCTTAACTGTTTTCTTCCCCATCAGTAAATCTTAGATACATTTCTCCTCAACATGGGAGAAATTAGACTTTGTATTTTCACTAGCACTAGGAAGCTGAGGGCAAAGAAAAACAGGAAATGGAAGCGGAGAACATTAAGAATACAGAGAAAAATGAGTCATACAATTCTATCAAAATACTCATTACATTGGAAATCATCTAATTAGGTATCCAAATTGAGAGTAATGTGTCTTTTGTTTTTCACTTCTAGAAAAAAAAAAGAAAGAAGAGGCAACAATAAAAAGTGTATAGTTAGGGTTTTGTAAAGAAAGAAAAGCAAAGTAAGGGAGGGGGAAGAGAAGGAAATGCCTTGTACTCTCTCCAAAACAAACAAGCAAGCAAACAAACAAACTGCCCATTTCACACACACCCGCTGCCTTAGAATGAGGGATACAGGATGCTGCCAAAGCCTCCACCAGAGAAAACAATAGTGAGGCAGGAGAGCAAGGAAGTTTTCAGAAGTTTCTCATTAGTAAAGGCTAAGACAAATACAGTTGGCCGTCCATTGACCAGAAAACCAAATAAATTATGTCAATCCCTGAAACATTCGCATCATCAAGGATTTCTTTTTATTTAAAAATGGAACGTCTGTATCACATGGGGAAAAGAAGCCTTATTACAGTTTTAACATTTGTATCTGTTTACTTTTCTTGGAGTGGACATTCCTATCCCTCCAAACAACTAACATACATAGAGCTAAAAATCACATAAGGAAACAACTAAAGGATAACAACACTAATAGTTTCAACAATGGAAGTGGCACTTGGTCATTTTTGTTGATATGAGTCCTGGGGAATCCAAATGGCAGAAGAGAGCAAGGAAGAGGCTTTCGTCCAAGATGCACCACGATAATGAAAGCCAGTCATGGGATGTAGCCCTGGGAAAGACCTGCAGAGTGCTCCTGAGGGGACATGCATCCTTACTTCCAGCCACCAAAACATTCTGCAAGGTACCATGGTTTTGTATTTTGAATCATTTGCAAAGATGTTTTGGCCTCTCAGCAAATCAACCCTAAAGTATTTAATGAGCAATCAGTATATTATGAACAGAGTCATCTCAAGCCTGGAACAAGAAACTATATTTCTCTGCTTTCATTCCCTCCTATTGTTCCTGCTTCTTCATCTTTTCCCCACCTAAATAGTCATTAACAAAATATCAACAGTACTGGTGCTTTCAGTCCATGGTCAAAACCATCCTTATAGTATTTTTTGAATAATTCTGACACAATATATTGTATTTGGCACTGAAATCAATTCGTGACTAGTCTACATAAATGCTATCCTATATAGAGATAAGCAAAGGAGAGTAATATATCAGAGCAATCAACAAATTACAGATCATATGCTAAGGAGATGCCAGAGTGCATAGGCAATGGACCAGTGGGGTGACCATGGGCATCATATGGGATAGCATACTCGAAAGGACTCTAACTGACAGAGCACTTTGGACATTAAGGTCATTATTACTGTTGTTATTATGGTATAACAACTGACCCACTGTGGGGAAAGTAAACCCCAAGAAGGCAAAAGTTCTGGTCAGATTGAATACAAGGAATCATTTCCTCTCCATGTCTAACAGCTAGCACTTGGCAATGGTAATGTAATGTGTGGAGAGACACAGCTTGGGCCTACAAAATAGAAATTTGAATATATAAATATATATTATGAAGTATGGTCGGATACAAATTGATGTAAAAATATGCTTTGCTTTCCCTGTGTCATGAGTTTAAAAAGCATATAATTTTGTGTTGTTTTATGTTGAAGCAAAGTTAGTAAACTTTTTGGTTCTGTTAAAGAAGTATTTTCACAGTATATGTTATTACAGTGCTGAAACCTTACATGTTAAATAGCCACCTGAAATATTTAGGACTTATCCAAAAATAACTTAACATTAATATAGATCATTCTAGTAATATGTTTAGTTATATGGTCTGGGGTAGTAATAATGGAGTGGTGAGAATTCATCAAGATTTGCTACTTGGCCCATTTTTAATTAAATGTTTGAGATAGTAAAGTAATCTTATAGGTAGGATATCCATGATATTTTCATTATCAAATAGGAAATGGCCTGAAGCTTTGGCTGTAGAAAGTACTGTAGAAAGATGGTAAGTTGGGAAGAGATTCCTTTTCTGCCCTCAGCCGAACTAGTGATTGTGGTAAAACACTTGTACCTGGATAGTATCCCCTGGGTCAGTGTCTGACAATCAAACACTCCTCAGGATGGCAGAGCTGCTCAGGTGCAAGCGTCCACAGAGTAAACAGCCTTGCCTCATAAGGACAAAGCCCATGGCTTTGAGAATTTGCTCACTGTTGAAGAATTCTGGGAAGCTATTTGAAGGATAATCTCATTTCTTGGGTCACTGCTGTCATGTTACTGGCCTTCGTTGTAATTCCAGTTAAATTACAAAGTACAATATATAATGTTGAACCTTCAGGAATAATATAATGAGCACAGCCACCCTCCACAAAGTCCCAAGTTCAAATTACTGGCAAAGTCATCATCTGAGAATGTCTGAGAATGTACAGAATCTTGATCATCACTGTTGCTGTCTGTGTCACCACCACCATCATCATAGCATCTTTAGCATTACAGTTGCAGTATCCTGATCATGTCAAGTGGGGTGGGAAGATCCAAAAAACCAGTATCAAGACACTGTCCAGTTTGGGTGTGTAAATATTATCCTGTGCTTCTTTGCCCATTTAGCAAACACTTTCTTTTCAGTGATAAACCTATGGCCTCCATATGGAGCATGTTCATGAAGAAAATATTCATCACACTCATCTCTTCCTTGTTCATAGTAATGGTAGGGAACTTTCCTATACCCCTCTGTCCTAGAAAAGAAAAAAAAAAACAGAAAGACTGAGATAAAGAATGAAAATCATTCATTTACAAGAATCCATTATGTGCTGAGTAAATGCATTTACTTGCAAACCTATGCATGATTCTAGCCCATGAACTCAGTTAAAACTATTATGTATAAAAGCTTTTAGGAAGATATACCAAGTCCTTAGTGCTTTAATAAATCAAATAAAATTTATATATCACACCAATTACATTCGAACACATAGCTCTCCTTTGAAGGAGGAAATGGTGCATAATGGAGCAAACTTTGGAGAGCCCGATGCTCTTACAGGACTTGAAGGAGTCTTGTGATTTTTCATAGGAGGACAGTTGGTTCATCTGTGCTCCAATATGCTAATAGCTGGGATAGAAATATTTGATCATGAAGATTGTGGCTTAATTACCATTTTGAAAATATGATGAAAATATTTCCTGAATTCTATTTTGCCAGTTGTTGGTAGGGAAGTATGTTTGATTACCCTGATGAAGAATGGAAGGTTTATTTTATTATCTAGTTAGAAACTACCCCCACCCTGAGTGGGGATGTATGTGCATAAAGACATCCATTTTAGATAAGGACTTGGTAGATTACTCACTTATTTCCAGACATTCTTGTTAAGCTCTCAGCTTCTCTGAGGCTCTAGGACATTTTGTCCTTCATGATCAAATATAACCACTGAGTAGATAGCCATCTATCAAGTCATTAGCACAGCAGAGATGACAAACTTGCTTTGCAAATTAAATAACCACTAAAGTTGTCTGTATTTCTCAGCCACAAGCCCCCGATATGCCACTGATTAAGGGGAAAACGTTTCTTCTGACATTTGACATTAGACTGTGGTAAATATTTTACTTTGTATCACTGCTAAAAGTCATAACTTGATGCACTGACAATGAAATGTCATGTCAGCAAAGAACACAGGGAAATAATTGTTGTTTTATCTGTTTTTTTCCAGATTTATGGTATTAAAATGAATTGTGATATTTTGATAAGATATACAAATTGGAGATGCATAAAAATAATTTCCTGTGATCTTACTTGCAGTAGGTGTCATTTATCATCCCGTAGACGTGAATGCCATAGCAGGCATCCATGGCCAGAATGAACGTGAACCACCCAGTGCTGAGGTAAGAGCCAGACTGGACTCTGTGAGGGAACAAAAACAACAAACGAAACAAAACAACACAGACAACATACACAGAGTGACAATAAAGTGTGGTGAGAAACAAGCCAATTTTGGCAAAAACGTAACACTTGTTATCAGGAAAAAACATTAAGAAACTTGACAATCTGTCAGAGTCACACTTATTTTGAATTATCTCTGAATAATTTATGGGCATGTTCTCACTCTTACTACCTTAAGCCTGGAAGCTATGCTGTATGGTAGAGAAGCCATATGGCAAATTTTTGAAGTCAAATAATCCTGCTCCCTTCAGGTGAAAAATAATTTGTTTGATTTTCCTTGTGACACGAATTAGTGCTGCACATCAGAAGACAGGTTTTCTACAAGTTGCTTGGAGCCCTGATGGGAACTGAATGATAATAGTGCTATCTGCTATCCTGGACATATCACCTGCTTTAAGGCTTGTTGGGTTTCTATGTATAAATTAGATGCAGCGTAAGTGAATGACCTGGTCTATGAAAACATCTGAAGAGTTCTCCCCTGCTTTCCAGGCATCATGAGACAAGACTTTTCCTTTGTAAGACCTGTCTTACCAATCTCTTCAACATGTTTTTAGTGAATACCTACTGTGTGCCCATCACTGTTGAAGATGCTGAGATACAGCAGTTATCAAACAACCAAAGCTTTTGTCTTCATGGAGACTAGATGATTGGATTTGGAGATGGCTGTGTTATAAAGGTTGGCCATGGAAGGCTTTTTTGACAACAAATATCTGGAAAGGGGGTAGGGAAAAGGGAAGGAGCCACATGGACTATATTGGAAAAGACAAATTCATGTGTGTAGTCTTTTTTTTTTAAGATTTCATTTATTTCTTTTTAGACAGAGGGGAAGGGAGAAAGAGAGGGACAGAAACATCAATGTGTGGTTGCCTCTCACACATCCCCTATTGGAGATGTGGCCCGCAACCCAGGCATGTGCCCTGACTGGAAATCAAACCAGTGACCTTTTGGTTCACAGGCCGGTACTCAATCCACTGAGCCACAGGAGCCGGGGTGTCATGTGTGTAGTCTTTTGACCACCTCTTGGTCACATAAGAAAGGGCCACAGGTCTGGAACACTTTCTTACTAAAGGATAAGGAATTCTCTCAGCCTGTGCTGGACTTGCCACCTTGTGTGGGGCTCTCTTACCCTGTTTCAGATTTTAATTTTTTTTTTATTTTTTCAGTTACAGTTGACACTTACTGTTATATTGGTTTCAGGTGTACATAGTGGTTAGACATTTATATAACTTATGAGGATGTCCCCTAATAAGTCTAACCCCCACCTAACACCACACATACTCATAGCTATTACCACATCATTGAGTATATGCTATACTTTACACCCCCATGACTATTTTGTAACTGGCAATTTGTTCTTATGAATGCTTACATCTTTTTCACCTAACCCTCAACCCCACTCCCATCTGGCAACCACCCACTTTGTTCTCTGTATCTATAAGTTTGTTCTTGTTTAGTTTGTTTATTTATTTTGTCTTTTAGATCCCACTCACAAGTGAAATCATAGGGTATTTATCTTTCTCTCTCTGAGATACTTCACTTAGCTTAATGTGTACTTCTTTGTTCTGTTTAAATATATGTGTCATATGGCACCTGGCCAACCTCACTGCTGTATCTTTTCCCTGAAAGCAGGGGATGGAATCCTTCATTCTGTGGCACAAAAGGGTTGCATGCAGGCCAGAGGCCTTGCGTTAGCTGCTGGGAAGGACTTACTGGCCATGGGGCACCAATGCTCACTACTAACACTGATCTCCTTCTGTTTCTTCTCTACATGAGTAAAGTGTTGCTCTGTCTACTGTCTGCATTGTTTTCCTTGGCAACTCTGATCCCAAGAGTCAATGGTGGAAGGGTTTGGATATCTGCTCCTGGTGATGCGTAACAGACACTCCTTGCTCAATGGACAATATGAGAGAAAAGAATTGCAGAAGAAGGAAATGCTAGGGGCAAAATCACAAATATGTAAGTGTGGTATATTTAAGGAAGACATGGGAATAGTGATAACTGCAGCATGTAGTGCTGACCGGAGGGGTCCGCCATGTTCCAAATGGTTCAAAGGAATGTTTGATGACAGGTGGCATCTCGATACTTGTCTTTAGCCGAGGTTGACCCAATACATCTAAAACAGATGACTGCCTACTGCTGTAAGTTTCTCCCCATAGTGGCATTTGACTCATCCCAGATCATCTGGCATCTGTGTACCACCACTGCTAAAAAAGACTAAATTTCCTACATCTAGACTTCTTTGCACACTGGAGCACAGCCAGCCCTTCCCCAACTGATAACCTCTCCCTGGGTGCACCACTCTAGCCAGCAGTGGCTTGCCACTGAAGCCCGATATTGTGGATGCTTTTCTCCAGCACCAAGCCTTCTGTGTGCTCTAATTAGGACTCTGAATCCTTTCATTCTTTTTTTTTTAAACAGACACTGCTTAGTATCAAATTACTTAGAGCATACAGGCATTTCAGAAGCAATAGAAACTCAGAGTGGGGGTTAATAACTGGATATTTTAACCTTTATTTTCATTGGCATTGGGTGATTTGCAAGGAGAGATAAACCTAATATATATAAAAGGGGGCACAAATAATGCCCCCTTTTTATTACAAAATCTTTTATTACAAAATCATAAGCATGTAATTCTGCAACATAACAATATCACACTCAAGCACACCACATGACATTTTAGGTAAAATGTTCAAATTAAAACTATAAATCATTACACAATATTATTACCCTACCAACCATACTCAGCAGGAGTTACTTCTGCCAGATATATATATATCACCCATTTCTTCTACTTACTTGTCACTGAATTTGAAATGCCACAATGAAAGTATTTTCCTTTATATCTCCTGACATGTCTTCTGCATACAAAATGTTCCAGAAACAGGGTCTCCATGAATTACATGCACTTTCCTCTTAATAGGAATATTAGCAGGAGCATGGATTAGGAATGGTGCCAAGCAGGTGGGAAGATGTACCACAGGGAGGTGAAATACACAAAAGGGCGACTTTGCTTACACAGAGGAACCTGCAGTCCATCCTGTCTTCTGCAGTCTGAGGAGGAGCAGCAATAATGGGGACTGCTTAAAGCATCATCTGCTTAAAAAGTCCTTATTTGAAATTTGGGAGAGCTCAGAAAAGGCAAGGCTCTTGACAAACATCTCTGAAACTGAATCTAGAAACTGTCTACATACTGAATTTTTCTGGTTAGTATCCCTACTGAATTGTATACCCCTTTTTCCTCTTGCCTTCTTGTATGACTTTTTCCATAATACTTTTGTATTATCTTTACCCTCCTTCAATATCTGATTGACAAAGCACTAGTAGAAATCAGTAAAATTTACAGCATGTATTTGAATATGATGAGAAAACCAAGTGTCACTTATTCATGCATTCATTTATCTTTTTTGACAATCATTTATTGGGATACTATCATGTGCCACTAGTTATACTAGAAGCTGGCAATGAATATTTTCTTAAAGAGGACTTGGTCTAGCAGTGGAAGCACATGCACTGAAACGATTGATCACAATATCGTGCAACAAGGCACAAGCCCATGTGTTTCTTTGGAGTTTGTTACCCAGCGCACTACAGAGCTGAGAGTGAGGCTCCCTGGCTTCACATTCTGGCTCTCTTGCTACTTGAACGAGAGGCTTTGGACAACTTATTTAGTCTCTTATATCATCTTAGTTTCCTTTGTCTTGAAAACTCATATCTAAGGTTATTTCTAATTTTGAAATCAAGTGATTCTGTGATTGTCACCTTCAATAGTCAGCTTGTTTTAACCTTTAAGCACATTCTATGCTGCAAGCATGTTGGGTGTATAATTAACAGTCAGACCACATTTAAAGCCCACTTGTGTGATGTACATGCCACTAAAAGTCTGGGGTGTGTATTTTGATATAAATTTTTACCTGGCAATGGCAGTGGCAACGGTCACTGAACTTTTGAAGGGAGATCTGTGTTTACCTCCTTCACACTTCTGCTCACAGAAGGTGCTAAAATAACTGTTCAACACCAATGGAACAACTGGACCATAATATTGAGGGTAAAGCTTACTTTGAGTGAGAGATAAAATAAATCTAAATTAGAAAAAAATTGGTTCTATTCTGATGTGTTTTTTTTCCCCTAGGAATTGCTAACTATCAAAGACCAAGGTAACTTTGTAGCCCCAGGATAAAAAGGGGATCTTTTGCTTGACACATGGATCACTACTTTGCAGAACAAGCTCTCCTGGCTCATTCTGGTCCACCCCAAATAGCCATTTCTGATAGTTCAGCAGTGGGTTTTCAGAGCAGAACCCTCAAAGGATAGAATATAACTGTCAAAGTGGCTCCTCCCCATACTTATCTTCTTTTTACCACAGGAGAAGAAGGTCAGGGATTTCAGAATTTAGCATATGGTCAAAGATCTTTACAAATCACCACATAATAAGAAAATGTTTCCCATATTTTTGATACTTGTTTATGTTTAAACCTAATCTGATTTATTTTGTTCGTGGATAGACAGATCCTGATAATTAGCCCCGAAGCTCTTTAAGTGAGCCGCATTGCATTTGATTCGGTCCGGGGAGGCTCATACTGCCCAAGTGCCCTGTCCTACAAACAGCACTTAATTAGATAGTTGCATTTTCTTTCCCTAGTGCCTCTGATGTATTTGGGATGAGAAATTGTGTGAGCCGATGTCCATATAATGAAGCCTGTGGTAGAATAATGGCAGCTGGTAGATAAATCCAGGAATTCTTCCGAGTAGGTGTCTCCGTGATCTGGATTCTTAAGGGAATTCACTGTCCTGGATGGCGCTGGCTCTGGGAACTCTTGTGGCTGCACTGGCCCCCAACTCTCCTGCTGTGTGGGCATACTAGAAATGAGGAAGTATAAATTATACCCAAGCACACTTTTTGAGGTTCAATAAAAATGACAAAATGACTTGGGCTGATATACATGAAACTTTAAGATTTTAAG